TTCATTTATTGACAAAAGAAACAATCAGTGAATACTTAAAGTTCATGTATTTTCCTCTGGGGCCTCCAAGACATCTGTCTACACACAAAGGCCATGGGCATTATATTATTTTATCCTTATTCCCCACAGTCAGTTTGGGATTTATAAATAACTTCAAAAATATGGGAGGGAAAAGAAAACAACTCCCAGGATTGTTTTAGAGATGCAGGCAAATGAAGTGCCCCGGGTACAGAGTTTAAGGAGGTCCTCACTTTCAGGTGCCTGCCCTGCACTTGGAGGAACCTGAAAGGGAAGGATGTGGAAGGGGACTTCATGGATGGTCCCCAGCCCTGTCCTCCAGGCACTTGTCCTGGGCACAGAGGGCTGACATGGGGCCTCCTTTTTAGGAGATCCCTTTTCCATAGTGATGCCAAATAATGTGCCTGTTTTAGCTGCAGTGCTTGTAGACACATTTCCTCCTGGACACCTGTTCAGCACCTTGCACTCATGACAGTGGAACTTTTGTCATCTTCCTGAGAAATTCCTCAGCCTTCCTGCCCCTTGGGTGCTTCCTTCTGATAGAGCCGGCACTCCTGGGGAGTGTGTGACTGGAGTAGATTGATGATTTCAGGGAGTGAGGGTTTTCTCACCTGCATTTCAAATAATCCTTCCTGTGTCATCAAACACAGTTTAAAGTTAGGAATTGGCTGGCTGCAGAGCTTTTGAGGTTTGTCGGAAGCATGAGATGAGCAGGAACCAGTAGTCTGAAGGTCAGACTGCCTTGGGAATCATCATGCCTCCTGGTCTACTGGTCCACCTTGTTTTTGCCTGTTAGATAAGAGGTAGATGTAGACCATCTTTGTCAATATAATTCTTAGATATTATGACGTAAACACCAGACTTTGCTTTCTATATCTTTTTTGGTATCTAAATGCCTCAGTCTAGTGTAGACTTTCTAAACTTTCCACTCCTACCCCAAGACAGTGGCATTTTACTTTCCCCATCATCACCATCTTCGCCATCACTAATTCCTCCCACCTGCAGATTTTTAAAAAATTTGTTCAGTCCTATTCATCTGTATTTGCCTCCTAAATAATAGATCTGTGTCCTGTGATTCTGCCTCAAAGCAAGGAAGACCTTGCCTGTCTCAGGACCCCTTTCACCTATATTATCATTGAGGTTGGAAAGGTTGCTGCTGCTTTGAAAATTATATATATATATGTATTTTTAATAGATAAGGTCTTGCTCTGTCACCTAGGCTGGAGTGCACTGGCACGATTATAGTTCACTGCAGCTTCAAACTCCTGGGGTTGGTCAGGTGATCCTCCTGCCTCAGCCTCCTGAGTAGCTGGGACTTCAGATGCATGCCATCATGCCTGGCTAATTTTTCTATTTTTTGCAGAGATGGGGGTGAGGGGGTCTCACTTTGTTGTCTAGGCTGGTCTCAAACTTGTGACCTCAAGCAATTCTCCCATCTCAGTCTCCCAAAGTGCTGAGATAGATTACAACCTCTGCACCCAGCGAAAACTAGATTTTTGGAAACCAGACCTAGAGCAGATTCTGTCAATTTCTAGCGTGTAAGGGCCCTCATCACATAAAGCATCAGGGGCTGCAGAGCCTGCATAGATGTTCAACAAGAAAAACAGTAAAGGTCACCGAGCCCACTGACTTTCCCTGGCCCCGTGCACTTCTCTCCTGTGAGGAGCCTTCCGAGGAACCAAACCGGCCACACTTTGGACCCCACGGCTCTGACCGTAAACACAGAATAGAATGTGTTTCTCACAGCTTTGTCCCAGTAGGAGAGCCTACGGAGGCAAGTCAGGCACACTCACCGTAACAGCAGCTGAGTTAAAGAGCCCTTCTTTGCTGTCATTTATTACCTGCATTGTTTTTTCACTTTTGCATTAAATAAATGTGCACTTTTTTGAGGGATGGTGCTTAAATTTTTCAGAAGCTTGGGAATGATGCCGTATCCCAGGATTCTTCCAGCCCAGCCTTGAGCAGCGTAGAACGGTTGGATGGAGGTGGGGCAGGTAAGTCGGGCAATTGCCATCATCCCTTCGGAAAAGTGCTTACCTTCTGATTGCAGGAGTCACATGTGATTGACAGAAGAAAAATTTAAATGGGGAGGCAAGAACCGATCTCTTTGTTGTGTGTTCTCAGCTACCACCTGAAAGACCACATCCCTTACCTACCTTCCCCTGGGGTGCATCCTGCCCCACTGTAGCATTGTGCCTGGACAGGGCACTTTTTGATTTCCCAAAGGGAGGAAATCCTGACTATTTTTTCACTGCAAACTCCTCAACTTGGAGCATTTTGGCAAAGTTAGGGGTGGGGGCAGCATACAGGATCATGGCTGATGTATTTAAGAATAAGCCATGCATGATATATGGAAGATGGGTGGTTGTCTTATTTGGTATGAAAATATGCTTCCCTTGCAGCTTGAATATGCATGAAATCCAATATCACTTGTCCCTCTGACTTTTTAGGTATAATAAAATAAGAAAATACCTTAGATGAAAACTGGAGAGTAACGTGTTAACTGTGTGATAGAATCCTCATTTTGCTATTTGAGATTCTTATGCATAGCTACAGTATCTTGGTGCAGTAAGAGTTGGATGATAAATCACATTTTATGGGCTTATTTTTACCAGTTGTCTTGTTAAATTAAGGCAGCAGTATGGATGGAGGTGGGGGATGAGATGACATTTCTGGAGCTGTTCTCACTAAACATGAGATTGCAGCCATCAGCATCGCCCTCCTCTCTTAGAACCTGCAGCCAGAGCCCTAACCGCTTGTTGTCCAGAACCAAGGCACTTCCATTTGGTTATACCTGTACCTTGTGCCAGATCTGAGAAAGACCTGAACACTTCAAATGCCTGAAGAACCACTGTTTTCCTTGTATGTGATTACAGCACTGTACACTATTAAATGTAAAAGCTTGTCAACCCTGGAATAGTCAGGGGTGATCAGAAAAGAACCAAAAAGTTTATTGCTTTTCTACAAAGAACATTACTCTTCCTCCAGCATGTTTTGATTTTAAAAACATGCTAGAACAGCATATTCTTAAGATATTCTTAAAACATCCGTGATGAGAAACAATGGTAAATGATTATAGCGGTTTGTACCAGACTTCTAGTTTCAAGTTACTGGCTTCTTTGACCTTTGATTAATTTTAAAGTGGCCTTTTTCGTCTTAGTGCCTAAACTGCACCCAGGTCTTCCAGAGAACCGCTTTGGTTTGGGAACACCAGAAAAGAATACCAAAGCAGAACCCAAAGTGGAAGCAGGTTCCAGGTCTCGGAGCTCATCCAGCACACCTACAAGCCCGAAGCCCCTCCTGCAGTCCCCCAAACCCAGCCTGGCAGCACGGCCCGTCATCCCGCAGAAACCAAGAACCGCCTCACGGCCTGGTAAGAGTTTTGCAGTTAGGGAGTTGCATTGTGACCAGGTAGCTTCCCAGAGCCAGCTGGATCAGATGCTGCAGGTTATTTCAGGGGCAGCTAGTGAGCAAGGTACAGCGGCTTCTGCAGGAGGGGATCACAAGAAACCTGTGCAAAGCTGTGAAAGTGATGAGAGCTGAGGGATTCCTTTATTCAATGCTGAGCTCCACCATGTGTCAGAGTTGGGGACTCTGAGACTATCCTTGCTTTCAGGGGTACAGGTTGGTTGGTAGGCAAGACAGGGACATCCGTCTTTTGTCATGTTGACCCATCTGCAGTGCTTGGCTTGGCTTTCTGATACTTGTCTCCAGGGTGTTCAGACACTGAAAAGCAGCAGTTTAAGGATGAAGGCTACAAACGGGGAAAGCACAAGCTCTTCAGTTTTTATGCCGTATTCTATGATGTGTCAAGGGTTTAGAACAAGACTTGGCAAACAATGGGCCTGTTTTTGTAAATAGTTTTCCTGGACACAGCCATACGATTTGTACTGGTGTCATCTGGGGCTGTGGCTGTGCTACAGTCACCGAATGGTGTGCTTGCAACAGGGCCATATGGCCTGCAGAATGTAAAATATTTACTCTTGGGCCCTTTACAAAAAAGTTTGCTGACTATTAGTTTAGAAAATCTAATGACAGAAGAAACTTAAAAATATTAGAAATGGGTTGGTCTTCACCTTATTCTCTCCTGCACAAAAGAAGTCCTAGTGTGGTAGTGCACACCTGTAGTCCCTGCTACTTGGGAGGCTGAGGTGGGAGGATCATTTGAGCCTAGGAGTTTAGGCTGTCATCACACTGTAACCACACCACTGCACTCCAGCCTGAGTGACAAGACCCTATCTCTTAAACACACACACACACACGCAATTTTTTTTTAATTTAACTTTCCATTGTAAGAATTTTCAAACATACACAAAAGTAGGATAGGTAATATAACGAAAGTTACATCAATTCTTCACCTCTTCCCCTTGTTCTCCCACAAAAATTAGTCAAACAGGGATAAAAATAATATAGTCACATCATCATCATGGCTAATCTTTGAGCACTTAACTGTGTCCTTGGCACTGTTGTAAGTGCTTCATGATGAACTCTCAATATCCTCATCACTGCTCCGTTTTGCAGATGAGGAATTTGAGGCATAGAGATACTGAGTTTGCCAAGTCACGCAGCTGGTGTGTCTGGGTAGCCGCCAGATGTTCTGAGTCCACCAACTGTCTTGGTTACTGTGTTTCTATTGACCTCTCCCCCATGGACATGCATATTGTAAAGTAAGATGCGCAGGTCATCCTAATAATTTATCAATGTGCAGATGATTTGGGTAGAATGAGCAAAAAGGCAGAATCCTGTGTGTCCAAACTTCTTCCACTTGTGGTTCTTTCCCATGTTCCCTCATGTATTTTTTTCATTTCCCGGGTGGCCAGCCTGGATGACACTCCCTGGTCTTCATAGTCCATTGGTCCCTTGAAAAAACCAGTAAACCATCTCCAAAGAGAAGCACAAAGAAAGAGGTGTACTGGCTTTACCTCAAGGAACTAAGCCTTCAAACAAACCCCTGAGTACTTCCTATGTCTACTCAAACTTTTTCCCAAACCAAAGTTCTTTATGATGGGGAACACAAAAAATTTATTGGTACGCACACAGTGTCTTCATGTGGAAGGAGTGGAGAGAATGAAGGCAGAGAAAATGGAAAAATGTTTTAATAGAAAGCAAAGCAAATAAGTTCTCAAAAGGAGGCTTGCTCCTAGCATTGTCATCAGCTAGGTGTGTCTCTAGTCTACAATAAAGAAACAGTTCTTATAAAATGAATCTAGTTTGTAGAGTAACTAGTTTGTAGAGTACAGTAGGCCCCTGTTATCCAAGGTTTTGCTTTTTACAGTTTCAGTTATTCATGGTGCAGATATTGAGAGAGAGAGAGAGAGAGAGAGAGAGAGAGAGAGACCACATTCAGATAACTTTTATTATAGTATATTGTTACAATTATTCTATTATTGGGTTTTAGTGTTAATATCTTACTGTGCGTAATTTATACATTAAACTTTATTATAGGTGTATGTGTAGGAAAAAACACAGCTTATGTAGGGTTCAGTACTATCCATGGTTTCAGACATCCACCGGAGGCCTTAGATTGTATCCCATGTGGATAAAGGGGGACCACTCCCTAGTTTCTAATGCTGAATATAAAACTAGCTGAATTCCCAATATTCTGTTGCAAGCAGTTTTATTTTGTTTATTTACTAAATGTGTTCATTTATTTCATAGCACTTAGTGTATCAAGAATTATGTTAATAAGCCCATGTTTTTATAGAGCTTGGGAATTCAGCAGGCATTTTCAAATACACCATCTCATTTCCTCTCCGCCACAGCTCTGACAGCTTGTGAAGGTGGATAGTGTTATCTTCACATGTCTTATCACATCCCTGCTTATTTTGGTTAAGCAAGTAGGCAACTGGAAGTGTAAGACTGAAGAGAACCTTGCTGTAGATTGTCTTCTACGTGCACAGACACTCACACACCAACTTAAGAACCACCTTGCTGGTAACAGCAAAGGAAGGAGCAAGATCCAGTAGTCAGGGGTGTCCACTCTTTTGCCTTCCCTGGGCCACATTGGAAGAAGAATTGTCTTGGGACACACACGAAATATGCTAACACTAACAATAGCTGATTACTTTAAAAAAAAAAAAGGCAAAATAATCTTGTAATGTTTTAAGAAAGTTTACAAGTTTTTGTTGGGCTGCATTCAAAGCCAACCTGGGCCGCATCCTTGTCCAATCCTGTGGGCAATGGGTTGGACAAGCTTGTGGTAGATCCTTTCAATTAGGGTGAAACAGCCCTGGTGTTTGAATTAAGAGACTAGAATTGGCCAGACGCGGTGGCTCACACTTGTAATCCCAACACTTTGGGAGTCCAAGGCGGGTGGATCATGAAGTCAGGAGATCGAGACCATCCTGGCTAACACGATGAAATCCCAGCTACTTGGGAGGCTGAGGCAGGAGAATCACTTGAACCCGGGAGGCAGAGGTTGCAGTGAGCCGGAATCGCACCACTGCACTCCAGTCTTGGTAACAGAGCAAGACTCCGTCTCAAAAAAAAAAAAAAGGAAGAAAAGAGACTAGAATTCTAGTCCTAGCTATTTTGTCATCTTTCTTATTTTTAAGCTCTTCATTTGTCCAGTGACCAGAGTTTTTTCTGGTTCTAAAAGACCATGATTCCAAATTTTTGTTAGTGACCTACATATATGCATGCATGCATACACATACACACATATGTATAGTGACTGTTGTGCTGGGTTTGACAACAGGTAAAGGCAGTGTCTTGTAAGTATTACATATTTTATGAAAACCAAACAGGCTTTGTGTTTAAGTCAGAAGGAACATGTGGTTTACTTACAGTCTAATTTTCAAATATCAGCACATTGAAATTCTTGATCTACAGGATAGATTCATATCTTTTCAGATACTAACTTTTTATGAGTATTCATTGGTTTTCCCTTTTGTTTGTGGATGTAACTTCACTGAGCAAAGACATAAAACTAATTTTTGGCCAGAAAAATTCTATGATGCTTTTTTTTTAAATGACCTATTTATATATATAGATTTACCAGGCTTTATGTTCTTGGAATCCAGTTTGTAGGATGGTTTGAGTCACGTGTTTGTGTCTCCTCAGATGACATTCCAGACTCTCCATCTAGCCCGAAAGTTGCCCTTCTTCCACCTGTCCTGAAAAAAGTTCCTTCAGACAAGGAGAGAGATGGCCAGAGTAGCCCCCAGCCCAGCCCCAGGACATTTTCACAGGAAGGTAAGGATTTCTTTTCTCTGGGTTAGCTCTCCCCAAGGAGGGACATTTCAAAATAAAGGAATTCATTTTGGACTTTACTAATATCTTAGAGTTTGTTAAAGTCAACATTCCTTGGGTTAAATTTTTGGAAATGGAGTAGTTTCTTAGTTCAGAAACGATTCAGCATGATTGGTGACATTGGATCTTAATGACAAATGAAAAAAGCAGCTGAGATACCCAACCAAAGGTCTAACTTATTTGCAAGAGTAATTTCTAGATGCTTCTGAACTGACTTCCAGCATGTTAGGAGCTCCTTAAACATGATTTTATGACATATTTAGGGCTAAATATAGATTTCTGAGTCCCATTATTTTCAACGAAATCTTTTCCTACTTGTGGTAAATCACTACTGCAGTAGTTCTGCAGCAGCACCCCCGGGCCTCAGCCACCTTGCAGCTCACTCACGGTGCTCGCTGAATCACAAGGTCAGATGTTCCTCACTCTCAGAAGTGTGGTGCAGACGTGGACATTCTCAGGGCGACTTTGCACCAGTTTGTTCCTTCTAATTTGCTGAGGTAGAAGCACAGCAAGCTAATCCTGTGACAAGAATGCTTTCTTCCCAAATCAGATTGAGCTGTTACCAGTTACTATCAGAGGTAAGGCATGGTTGTGGCTTCAGCACCCATGCCATTTCTTTTAAATGTATGATTGACTTTGGGGTTCTGTCGTATGTAATGTATAGTGTAAATGCCATCTCTGAGCCCCACCTATAAGGAAATTCTAGAGCTACACAAGTTGTCTACACCCAGAAGGCTCTCATTGTGGTTTGGAGTTGCTGTGTTTTATTTTAGATTTATTTAATGCTTTAGAATCCTTTGATCTCTCTGACTGTTTTCTTCCTACAATGGCCTTTTTTCTTTTATTGATAATAGTATTGGGTTGAAGTTAATAGAAAGTGTTACTGAGCATAGTACTGTCTTTGTGGCTTGGAAATCTAATAAAAACAGTAACACTGCCTGCTTTCTCATCTCCCTCCTACAGATTTATTTGTTGGGTAGAAGCTTTACTCACCTATTTGCTATAAATAAAAGATGGTAGGGTTGAGACCAAAGCTGCTAAACCACTTCTGCCAAATAGAGAAACTGGTATCTGTAGTCATTTTACATGAGGTAAATAAATACAGGGTTCAGTATTATAACCAAAGCCTTTGGAAGACTTGGTATAAAAGGAAGGACCTTTGGTGGTGCCAGCTCAGAGAGACTTGAGCCGACAGGTATTTTCTGACAGTCCAGTTCTCACCACAAAGTGCCTCCCCCATTCCTACCCTAATTTTCCATCCTTTCTGCAACTGCTAACTTTACGTCTTTACTTTTAAGGAAGTGTTGAAAATGCCCGAAAGAATTCAGTTGGAGAGAAAAAGAAAGGTGAGGAAGGGATGGTAGTGCTAAGTAGGAATGTTCGTCTGTCTTGTCTGAAGCAATTGAAATATTGAAGGATTTACAAAAGTAGAAAAAAGATCAGAAGGTTGAATACAAAAATCATTCTTTTAACATTTCTGGAAAACGATGTTTTCTAAATGCCTATAAATGATCAAAACAGGGCCTAGAGTAACCACCAGCCTAACAAGTGCAAATATATATCATGGAGCCTCTCTAGTTAACAAAGTCAGGGAGATAGTGGATACTGCTGCAGGCTTTTAGCTGCTGTGAAAAAGTCGAGTGTTCTTTCCCCAGGAAGTTAGAGATAGAATGTGTTGCTCTTTAAATGTTTCAGAGCTTTAGGGGTGGATGTTTGATCCCCTTCCTCATCCGTCTCCCTCCCCTAGTAGCAAATCTTAGGAATGGTTCCCACGCCCTTCTTTCCAGTCGGACGGTAGGGATGGCTGAGCTGTGGAGACCATCACTTTCCCACCTGGGATCCAGAATAAGTTAATCAAAGACATCATCCTCATGTTATCACTTGGTATAGAAATTGGACTGAAAATATACATGAAGTCTGGGAACAGTCTGTAAATGTCTGAGGTAGTAAGATTTTGACTTTATCAGCTTGTCCGCTAAGGTGGCCCAGAAGTGGCAGCCATTTGTGAGTCCTTTTTCTTTATAAACTGTCCATATTGTGCTCATTTCTGTTTTCTTATCTGTTATTCATGCTGGTTACTTCATTTCCCTGTTCTTTGCCTCCCTTTGGACTAGCGTGCCCAACTAATTTCTGAAGCAGGTAAATTGCTATGATTCTTCTGGATTATTCCATAGTGAATGTGATTTTCATTAATCCATCATGGAATCAAAATGATAATACTGGGGCCTTTTTGTTAATACTTTTTTGGGGCAGAATCAGAGCTCACCTCATTTTGCACGACATTTCCATAATGTTGGCTGTTGAATTCTGTAGATAATGATGTGTATCTGCCCAGGACCAGCACTGTAGGTTCCTTGAATCCTAAGTGGGGTGGGTAAGCTGATATTTAATTTTTAATATTTACATTTTTAAATATTAATGTCAACACATTGATGTATGTGCTAATATAAAGGGTAAAATAAATCCCTTTTCCTCAGTAGTGCAAAGAGGAGATTATTACAAAAGACATTCAGATCATGACAGTGGCAAGCCTTCCAGTAGAGGGAAAAGATCTTCAAAACTGTACTCCACCATTGCAGAAGAGGAAGTGAATGCAATTGGGCACAGGAAGTCACAGCCAACAAATGGTTAGAGCCTTCGATTATCATCCCTCACTGACCCAAAGCTTATGAACTGGCACTAACAAAAACAAACTGTAATTGAGTAAATTCTGTCGTGGGACTGGGTCATACAAGAGAGTCATACGAGAGAGTTTTTTTGTTTTTGGTTTTGGTTTTGGTTTTTGGTTTTTCTAAATGTCAACAGGATGGTCCTTTTATTTGGGATAAAAAATATTGACTTAAAAATCTAAAATTAGAAATTCTTATGAGGAAGATCAAGTTACTTTGGTGACTTGTCCTTTCAAATTTTTGTGATCATGCAAGTTTATTTTTATAATTGGGGTTAGACCTCCTATTCTCTTCCTTTATATCTTTACTCTCCTGTTAGGTTTCAACTGTGGTTGGATCAGAGATTCTTAGAATGACAAGAGTTTATATCCTTAGAGAATATTGGCCCAACATCTTACATTCTTTCAGAAAAGGATCAATAAAAAGTCACTGACTCAATGCAGACGTTGGGTCATGCACATGATCTTTCAGTGGACATTTTATCACCCTTTAGTAAGAAAGAAAAAGTACCAATTAACTTGTCAACCTTCAGGAACAATTTATTCCATTTTCTAGAAGTTTATCTCTGATGTCTGTCTTTCATTTGGCCCTGTAGTAAATTCTGTAATGTACTGTTCACGTGAGAACAATCCCAAGCGACAGAAAGGAGACAGATTTCAAATCAGCTTTGCCCTCCAATGGGAAATTTAAGAACAAGTATTGCTGACTCAGAGGAAAAAATGTCTTTTTTTTGTGCCTAAAGTACTCATCTCCTCCCTGGTTAATACAATAATTTTTTTATAAATATGACTTCAAAAGTCCATTAAAGGAAATCTTAGTACCTGTAAAGAATGTAACATATTCTGGTATGTGAGATTTCTTTAAAGGACTTCTGCTCTTGGAATGAGGCTCTTTTCTTTCTGTGAAACTATCAGGAGTTAATAGATGCACGTATTTAGGCTCCCAGGGATTAGGTGTGGCCCAGCATTCAGGCTGTAACACCATGCCCTTCACTGCCTCCCAAGAAAGCATTTCAGAATACAAGTTAATGGGAGTGACCTTATTATAGGGATACCTTCTCTTATTCTCTTACTGCAAAGGGATAAACTATTCTTGAATTTTCACACTTTACTATTGATAATAAACTTCTTGTGATACACTTCACAGCTTAACAGCCCAATGAGTTATGACACCTGAAGTGGGAACTGTTGTCTTTGAGAACGTTCCTTGATACAGGTTTTAAAACAAAAAAGCATCTACCAACTGCCTGCCAGGGACAATGTTTGGAGCCTGCCTTCTCAGCCAGTGCCGTGGGCTCAGCCACGTGTGCTCACTTGCCTGGGGTTCCAGCATGTACTAGCTAGGTGGCGGGGTGGGTTAAAGATACCTCTCAGAGCATAAAGCAAAGTCTGCAGGACACATAAGGATAAAACATTCTGCTTGGGCTGGGTAGCTCCTGCCCTAGAGAAAGCCAATTGAGTTGACCCTTTACTTTTACAGAATTCCTATGTAGTGGATTTGTTTATAGATACATAGTTACAGTAGCTCCTCTCTACAAGAAAGTTTCCTCATATTGCCAAGAAAATCTCTATCTTCAGTCCTAGAAAAGTTACATAAATGAACACCTAAGACATTTATTTTCTGACGAGTTATTTTTGAGAATTTATTAGGCCAGAATCTCTGTCTCTATCTTGCCCCTTTTGTTAAGGGCACCTAAGGTTGCATAGATGTTTCTGGATTCTGGAGCTTTACATTTGAACTATTGTTTTCATTGACTTATATTACTTGATTATTAACAAAGCATCATTGATGCAATGTTCCTTCTTCAAGAGGCCACTAAAAACACTTCATACAAAACAAAAAGAGATGCTCCCCTGCCACCTGCCGCCCAGTGCCTATTGATCATCCAGTGAGGCTTTGCGTTAGAGTAAAAAGAGGATAAACACAGAGATAACCCACATTATAGAAAAGCAAGGAGAAGAGATTCTATATCTGTCTCAGATTTGTTCATAACCTCTTTAGCTTAAAATTCTCATTGTGAGGAGCTGGTCAAATTTTGATGGAATTAAATAGGACCATCTTGTATTTACTTTTCTGCTTTGATTTCTTGAAATAATGACAGGCATTAAGAAGTAATTTTTACAGAAGCTTCAATTAAAGTGATTTTGTGCATAATATTTTAATTTTGTTTTGTTAGTGCCGATTCCTAGCACTTGACTGTCTTCACCTTTGAGAATTGAGTAGCAGTCTGCTTTCTGAATAGTTCCTGCTTAAAAAAATAACATTTAGCGGATTAATTCTATTAAATAATTGCATGTACTTTCTTTTAAGTCTTTTAAGAGCAGCTTTGTTTACGCTAAAACAGCCTTATTTTCCTAAAGTATGTATTCATGAAACAAACAGAGGCTATTGTTCTCAAATATTGTTCTCAAAGCATGCTGCATATTTCTATCATGAATATTATGTTTTGTGTGGCTATTATATTGATTTGACAGACAAAATGCTTAATTTCTTTTACTAGAAATATTTGTAAGCACATCTTTTTCCATTTCATATTATTTCCTCTCTGCATTTAATTATACGTTGTGATATTTTTATAAGAGTATATCCTATTTTCTTGAAGAAAATAGTTGATTTTGGCTTTGAATGCATTGTAATGGCCCCTGTTTGTACAGGGCATCTGATTCTAAGATTCCTTTTATATATCACTTGCCTCTTCCATAATCCAAGCTACAGCCAATAAATACTTGGCTGTGACTTGCAGTCTGTAAGCCAGTGCTCTGCTCTACTTTTTCCACCAGATTCAAGTTCTGCTCCCACTAAGTGAGTTCTTAAAGATAAATTTAACAGTTGGCATGTTGGGCTCTTGCTAGAAAGTATAAAAAATCAACTACTGAATACTATTTTCAGGTCATCATAGTGTTTTTCTCCTGGAAAATATGGATGTCAATGGAGCTTACAATGGAGAAAATACCAAATTTTCATATGATCCTCTAACTCTGCATTTATATGCATGTTTCAAAAGCTTTAAAATTATCACATATGTGCAATATCAAATCATCTTCAAGAATGACAGACTTCATGTTCGAGCCTCTCTGTACCAGTTATTGCCACTATAGACAGGATGTGTATATACATGGAGTGTTTGTGTTGAATAAATTACCTGTTCATTTACTTGAGTATCTTCTATTAGTTAACTTTAATGGTATTTAAAATAGTGATAAATATGTATATAGACACATGCATAGAGATGCTCCAGCACTCTTAACAAATACTTGCATTGAAGAAGTGTTTGTGAAACAACTGGATTTTTTTCACCCTGTGTAAAAGCAAGCATTAATTCAAGCTGCCTAAGAGGAGGTCTGTCTGAATTTGTAAAACGTCTAAATCTTATAAATATTTTAAAAATAAATTCTAGCCAGGCACTGTGGTTCACATCTGTAATCCCAGCACTTTGGGGGGCTGAAGCTGGAGGATCACTTGAGGCCAGAGGTTTGAGACCAGCCTGGGCAACAAATGAGTTGTCTATACAAAAATAAAAATAAAAAATTAGTTGGGTATGGTGAGAAGGTGCACCTGTAGTCTGCACTGCTCTGGAAGCTGAGACAGGAGGATCACTTGAGCCCAGGAGTTTGAGGCTACAGTGAGCTATGACTGCGCCACTGAATTCCAGCCTGGACAACAGAGTGAGACTCAGTATCTATAAATGAATAAATGCTTGCATGCATACATACATACATGCATACATTCTGGAGTTTTAAGTTTCAAAAGGACGTAATTCTATTGAGACCATCTTTTAATAGAAGCCTGACTAAACCTACTTCAATATAGTTGTAGTCAACATCTTAATTACATGCAATCAAATAGATGTTCCCTTAAGGGCTGGAAAGCAAACGGCAAAGAACATTCCCCCTACAAAGTTGTTCACATTAGGCATCTGGACTAATAAGGCTGGAGACTAGAAGACCAAGTGCTTTGACCTTCAAACTCATCACATTAATTGCATAACTTTAAGTCCTTGATCTCGCTGTGCCTTAATTTTCCTGTCCTTGAATGGTGCTTACCTACTATAGTAAGAACATGTCAGCCTGGTACTAGTCTCATTATCACATGCACATTCACAGTTGGTAGAGTTTAATCAATGGAGGTGAATATAGTTAGAATGAATTTCTAAATAAAGTCACCACCATAGTGAAATTCTTTGACAGCCCTCTTGAAAGTGTATATTATTTTTCCTCCTACAATCCCTGAGTCTTGGAGAATTCGGAAGCCCAGTGTCAGTGACTCAAAAGAATCAGCATTTAGGTGGAGACTGAAGGACAACCTGCTTTTAGCATGAAGATTTATATGTTGGATTTCTTTGAATTTTAATCATGCCTGCTCTAATGACCCTGGTCTGTAGGGTTATCTCAGTTTTTTATCTGTGACATAAACATTTTTGGTTTCTTGAATTTCTCCATTTTTAGAAAGTACTCTTATGTCATGTCATAGAACATGAGTTAGACCCAAGATTACCAGGAAACAAAAATATTGGGAAGAATGGAAAGTTTGATTATCCTTTAAATCTAAGAATTAGAACAAATATATTTGCTCTGAAGACAAAAGAGCAGTATATTGTATTTGTTTCTTCCCTTGAACCTGTAGTGTATTTTTGAGTCATTTAATATAGAGGAAGAACTTATTTTGGTTTTAAAACAATGAAAAATATTTTCTAGAAGATACCAAAGGAAATACTCTAGTTTGAGGTTGGGTTTATTGTAAAAAGTTTTCAGGATGAAGATAATACAAGTCTTCCCTACTTTCTTTTGTTCTTAGTAATTAAAGGATTCTTTGTCTATTAGTATCAAATTGGTTTTGTGATAAAGAGCAAAATATTTATAGATATTTATGCACCTTCATTCTCCAAACCTGGCTTACTGACAGCTTTGAAAGGACAAGTGCATTTAATTTTTTTACCCAACACAAGTGCATTTAATTTTTTTACCCAACACAAGCTTAAAAATACAAGCTTAAAAACACAAACTTAAAAATAGAAATTGCACTTCAGTTTGGGTGATAGAGCAAGACCTCATTTCTAAAAAGAAAAGAAAAAATAATAGAAATCAATGATAATATTTGTTTGTTGCTTTCTTCCCCCGATTTGAGAATTTGCCTGAATCTGTTGGACAAAAAGAAGTCATAATTTAAAAAATTACCTACTTTTATTATCAGATTTGAAAGGTTTTTTTCTTTTCAGAGTTTTGAGTCATTTCAATTTAATGTCATTAACTAAAAATTTAAATTTTTATTGTCTAAATAGCAGAATCTGGCTCTAATACGAGTATTGGCAAGAGAAGCACTCTATTAGGTTTGCATTTTGACTATTAGGTTTAATGAGCTTTCACTTCCTGAAACACTCTTCAGTGGGTTCAACATTTTAATAGCCAGCTCCTGGCAAGATGAGTTTTGTTTTTTGGGGGTTTTTTTTAGCAGAATGCAAAAATCAAGTGATTAGAAGCATCAAGTGAATCCTATAGCTTTTGAAGGACTGATACAGTGTGTTCCTGGTTAGATCATTTGAACTTCCAAGTGATGAGGTAGCTGTACTCTTCCTTCAAGCTGGCACAAAGTGTGTAGGTTTAGTATTTTTAGCTCAAGAACTGTCTATACAATAGACAAGATGAATAGTATTTAATAATCCTTAATAGCTATGCTGGAGTACAGCATCCGAACCTTTTCCCAAGGTATCACAGCAGTGAAGCCATGTTGTAGTTGGAAAGACCATAGACTTTGGAGAGACAGATCTAGTTTAAATCCTGGTTTCAAGTTTTACAAAACCTACCTTACAGAAGGTAATTGTGAGGAATAGCGATAATAAAACAGAGAGTGCCTGACACATAACAGAGGCTCCGTTCCAGTAATGATTCTCCCACCGTTGCTTTATAAAGCCTCAGTGGATTCTTCAAATTTATGTGTAATCAGAGCAGGCAACAATAATGGTAATGCTTTTACCTGGAGGGTGATTCCAAAATGGTTGATTGTGTCATAGACAATATTTAATGCATTTTCACTAGACTTTACAGTATTTATTTCCTAGAGGGTGAAACTGAGGTTTTCTGAGTCACAGAAAGGTCTGACAAAGACTCCTGAGGCCTTTGCTGATATCCTGCCCCACAATCAGGAATGACAAACCCCAAGTCATCTGCAGAAGGCATCGAATGGGACATCTGTCAGCCCAGCATCTCCTCAAGGCTCTGTCTGCCCTGTTCTCTCTGCTGCATGAGGGGGCAGCTACGACTGAGGAGGTCACCTGGGGCAGAACCACTTCAAAGCCCTCCTCCCTCCTGGCATCTCCCTCCACTTCCCCGCCATCCTTGCCTGGGGGGTCCTCACCTCAGATTCTTGCCCACATCTATGAGAGGTTCACCCTGTCATAGACTGTGTTTTTGTGTGTGTTTTCTCTTTTTGTTTCTGCTTTGTTGGTTAGTTTTACATTTCTGTCTAGAGTCTCTAAACATAATAGCAAGTTTGTTTCTGAGAAAGTTCACGCTGTTCCCCTCTCCTCCCGCAAACATTCAAGGCTACTGCATCTCAGCCCATTGTCAGTCAGGCCAGTGGTGTTATTTTGTCAATAAACTGTGCGACTTTTCTTTTTATTTCAGTTTCAAGGAGAAGCTGGGGCCAGCAGGCCCAGGAGTATCAAGAACAAAAGCAACGGTCCTCCAGTAAAGATGGCCGTCAAGGCAGCAAATCTAGTGACTCTGGAGAAGAAGCAGAAAAAGAGTTTATTTTTGTGTAAAGGTCACCCACGCAGAAGTCTTTCTGTGCAGGGTGCTTTGGTAGCCATCAGAGAGGAACCAAGGGCACCACCTCTTCTTCCCAGGCGTTCTTCTCTCGGTGCTTTATTCTCTTCTTTTTCTTTATTTCTCCCCCTACCCCCATCCCCTGCTTTCTTTTTTTTTTTTTTTTTTTTTTTTTTTATGGTCTGAATCTGATCCATTTCTTGGTACTCAATTCGCATTTGTTTGGTCTTCCTCCAACCCTTCGCATTTGATTTCTAAACATTCCTTCATATGCCTTTAATGAAAGCCAGCAATTATCCCATGGGCC